GAGAGGATGAGATGAGATGAGATGAGAGGAGATGAGAGGAGATGAGATGAGAGGAGATGAGAGGAGATGAGATGAGATGAGAGGAGATGAGATGAGAGGAGATGAGATGAGATGAGATGAGCTGAAATGAATATCGAAATCTTCCAAACTTCGGTTCGGCTTCTTCAATTGGCGAACCAAAACTATTCAAATAGTTATATAATGTTATATATACATATATTTCTACATTTTTAGCGTGCAAATCAATACAAATCACGCCGGCAAGATCCCAAACAGTGTGGGGAAGGGGATCGGGTGGTAATACCGGGTTCTTCAAAAAAAACATCTGTCCTCCTACATGTTGTCACATTACACCTGACCCCCCCGTGCCCCCTTGATCAATGTTGGTGACCCATACATGCCGAAATGCCCATTTTTTTTGACGGCCCTTCCAAGCAAAACGATATATATAAGAATATTGAATTGGGAAGATAACGGGCGAGACCGTAACAACACTGCCATTTTTTTTTCCACCCTTCCAATTAGAAATTAAATATAATAATATGATCTTCTTCGCTGACACTACTACTACCACTACCACTACTATTGACTGCTACTCCTACTACTACTACCCTGTTATTATTATTATTTCTAATATTTTTACAACGATAAATATTACTATATTTATTCATATTACTATATCTATTAGAATTATTAATACTACTGATATTAATACTAATATTAATACCAATATTAATTCTAATATTAGTAATAAATATTATTAAAAATCGAATATTTTTATATTCGATAGGAACTAATCTAATTTTATTCGTAATAATTACGGAAAATACAAACAATTATATATTAATTATATATTATAATAAATTAAAATTATTTATAATACTTAAATAATTTTATAAATAATAAATATAATTTAAAAAAATTAATATATAATATATATTAAAATAAATATATTAATTAAAATATTTATTTTAATATTTTATTTAAATAATAAAAATAAATAAAATAAATTAAAAAATATATTTATATAAATATAATTATATATTTTAATTATTTAGATTTATATAAATATTAAATTTTAATTTTAAAAATAAATAAAAAAATAAAATAAAAAATGTGATATTGTTAAATTTTTATAAAATATAT